TGTTCCTCTCGTCAGAATGGAGATTAGGTTTCCACTGGTGGGAAGTGCTCGTGAACACAGAAAATTAACACTTGGAAGTGCACTTTTTTTTCATTACTCAGTGTTTCCAGGCTACATGTTTTCATAGAGGTTTTGCTCAGTTTCTTGCATTCAGACACTCCAAACAAAGGTTTGTATAAAATTAGTATAGTTCTTCTGCCTGAATGAGCCTGGGGATTTCTTTGTGAGAATTTTTTTAACCATGATTTTGATTTTTAAAAATAGACATGAGACTACTCAAGTATGTTTTTCTTCTTGGTGATATTTGGTAGTCTGTGTCCTTCCAATGATATGTCCATTTCATCTAAATGACCAAATTTATCTACATAAAATTGTTCATAATGTTTTTTGCTATCCTTTTAATGTCTGTAAAATCTGTAGTGATGTCCACTATTGCTGATATTGATAATTTATGCTTATCTCTTTCTGCTGATTATTGTAGCTAGATGTTGATCAACTTTATTGATCTAGTTCATTGATTTTCTTCATTGTTTTTCTTTTCCAATTTCACTGACCTCTGTTTTCATACATATTTTTTTCTTCTTCCTACTTGCTTTGGTGTAATTTGCTACTCATTTTTTAGCTTAAGATGAAAACTGAGTTTACCTATTCAAAACATTTCTTGCTGCTAACATAAGCATTTAATTTTATAAAGTCTTCCTCTAAGTGCTTCTTCTGTTGTATCCCAGAGATTTAAAAATATTTTTCATTCTCATTCTAGTTTCCCTTGGGATGTCTCTTTAACTCATGAGTAATTTGGAAGTGTGGTGTTTAACTTACAAATTGGAGAATTCCCCAGATAATTTTCTGTTATTGATTTTTAATTTAACTTTTGTGGCAGGAAAATGAACCTTTTATTACGTCATTTCTTTTAAATGTGTTGAGGTTTGTCCCATAGCTCAGAATATGGTCCATAAGGGTGAATGTGCTTTGTGCACATGACTGGCAGACAAATGCACCTATGCTGTCCAACAGTG